CGGCAGCCGGGCCGCTTCGTGCGCCTGGTGGCGGCCGTCGTGGCGGCCTTCGCGCTCTGCTGGGGGCCCTACCACGTCTTCAGCCTGCTGGAGGCGCGCGCGCACGGCGACGCGGCGCTGCGGCCGCTCGTGTGGCGCGGGCTGCCGTTCGTCACCAGCCTGGCCTTCATCAACAGCGTGGTCAACCCGCTGCTCTACGTGCTCACCTGCCCCGACGTGCTGCGCAAGCTGCGGCGCTCGCTGCGCACGGTGCTCGCGAGTGTGCTGCTGGACGACAGCGAGCTGGGGGGCCCGGGCGGCCGCCGCCGCCGCGCCTCCTCCACGGCCACCGCCGCCTCCTCCTCCTCCTCGCTCGCCGGTCGCCATCCACCCCCGCTCCGCCCCGCGCGCCTTCTCGGCTGGCTGCGGGGTGGCCGGGCGGTGTCCCCGCAGAGGGGCCGGGCCCGATCCCAGGACGAGAGGGGCCCGCTGAACCCGGCGCTGAGCACCGCCTCGGATTAGACGGCGCGGGCCCGGGGGGCAGAAACAAAGTGAATTAAAGCAGCGCTTCCCGGACTTTGATGTGCCTAGGGGTCTCGTTAGAGTGCAGTCTGATCCAGGGCGGGGTGGGGTGTGCGTGCCTGTGTGTGGATTCTGCATTTGCAGCAAGCTCCGGGGTTCGCAGACCACACTTGGGGGAACACAAGGTTGCAATCAGACTAAGCTTCTCAAATTAGGGAGTGGAGTCCCAAGGGCACACTGGGCCATCTCCCTGGAGCTCAATCTTACCAGATGATGGGGGGAGGGGGATTTTTACATTAAACGATGATGTATTTTTGGAGAGGAAGTTAAGGGGCACTGTTCCAGGCTCACCTCTTCAGTTTAGCCAAGAGGGGGATTTTTACATTAAACGATGATGTATTTTTGGAGAGGAAGTTAAGGGGCACTGTTCTAGGCTCACCTCTTCAGTTTATCCGTTTATTGAGCCAGACGCTTTATCCCACAATCTTAAGGGGCAGCTTCTATTAGCCTGTCTTTACGGATGAGCAAACTCAGGCTCAGGGAGGTCAAGTACCTTGCCCAACGTGTCAGCGCTAGTGACCACAGGGTCTGATTGCTAACCTTAAGTGTCACATGCTCCACTGCCATCTGGGAAGTGAAGGAACATCCTCTGACCTACCCAAGGTACTTAGCACAGTGAGTAGCTGCCTCGGAGCCCCCACCTCTATCCTTGTGACTCAGCATTGCCCAAAGTTTTTATAAGAAGGAAAAAGCAGGGGGTGCCGTGGTCAAGTGTTTGGGAAACCTGGGCTAATCCGTCTAATGAGCATCATTACTGAAGGTCTCAATCCTTAGTAAATTTGAATACTTGCAGCCCCTGAGACCACAGCACATGACACTTCCTACTTATTCCAAGCCCTGTGCAAGTCTGGTGTGTGGGATGCCCTCTGGAGCACAGGTAATCCCGAGATCTTTGCGGCACCCGCCTCCCCACACCAGTGGGTACTGGGCAGCTGTCACTTCCAATTTGCAGACAAGAAGGCTGACTTGTATCTCTGTCACTGCACTTCCACTGTACGAAGTCTATTTCCTCAACCCGCCGTGGACTTGAGGGCAGCGACTGCTCTATTTTAAGCTCTGCATCCCAGAGATGGACAGAATTGGAGTCAGTAAACCTTTGTTTGGCAGATGATACTCTCTGGAGATCTTGGTCCAGTGCTCCTTGTGCCACTGAAGGCTGGGCTGGCGAGCTCACTGTTCATTCCCAGTGCCAGGCGGGCCCGGCCCTCAGCAGGAGCTCAGTAAACTTGGCAGTGAGATGTGCAGCTGACTGGAGAGATCCCATCCCAACGCATCGCCCCACACTCTCCCTTCCCTACTTTGCTTCATTCATAGCACACTTCCTCATCTGACACATGATGTATTTTACTTGTTTATTGTTTTTTCCATCAGAATGAAAGGTCCTTGAGGGCAGGGACTTTTGTCTGTTGTCTGTATTCCCTGGTGCCTAGAACTGTGCCTGTACACAACAGGCATTCAATAAATGTTTTTGCTGTAGACTGGATGGGCATGAGTTAGTCAGATCTCTGGGCTTCTGCTGAGCCCAGCATGGGAAAGGGGGTGCTAGAGAGAAACCCTGCTCCCTGCAACTTCCCCATTTTAATCTTTCAGTGTTGAAAAGCAGGAAGGAGCCGGATTCAGTTTGCTGGGTGATGGGGTCAGTGGGGTGCGGAGGTACCCAAGGCAGCCTTTGGGATTCCTGACTACCAGCCTCCAGGCCTGGGTTGGACCCAGGACCCTGAGACAGGACATACACATTTGGGGAAGTCACCCTCCAGTCACCAGCTCACTGAGAAACCAGAGAACTTACTGTTCATGATCTGAAGGCACTTGGAGGAAGGGAAAGGAGAGAAGGAGAGCTGAATCTCGTCCCTCCCTGTGTCTGCCAGGTCCCAGCCCCCTAGGTGTTTGTCCCACAGAGATCTGTCTGAGAGCCTTCAAAGGCCCAGGGGCTCCATCTGGGGTGGGGTCCCTGTTTTGGAGCCATAGTGTGGGAGTGCTGGCTCCAGCAGAGGCACCTGACTTGTGGCCGAGAAGTGCCGTGTTCTGAGATGGCTGTTGGCCATGGAAGGCCTCCACTCTGTCCTGAGCTCAGATTTTAGCTGCTGGCCGCTGGGGTGGCTGCTTCTGCAGCAGTGCCAGGGTGTCCCGCTTCTCAATGGAGCGCAACTGCTTCTTCTTTGCCCGCTTGAGCTTGGCAGGGTTTCGGATCTGGGGGTTGTATGAGGGGAGGGCATTAGTGAGGCTGAAACCTGTCCCTCCCGGGGGAAAGGAAGACCACCTGCAGGGGACTGGGATCGCAGCGTGAGAGTGGCGCATGAGGATGGGGGGGCCGAGGCATCTAGAATGCAATGTCCAGCCTGGCCTTGCTTTGCAACCCCTAAGTAGTAGGGCAGGGGGAAGCCGAGACACTCACCACTTGGACAATCTCTGCCTTCCGCTCATTCTCCAGGCGGCGTTTCAGATTCTCGGCCCGGCGCTGTTTCTTCTCCTGGGACACACAAGGGATGGGAATTTGAATCTGGGAGTTGAGGCAGTCCTAGTCTTTCAGGCCCCAGGAGAGAGAGCTGGCAGAAGTCCCAGGAAGGAGGGAGCCCTCCTATCTGGGCTCCAGGTCATTACTGATGATGTGTGGGTTAAGGGCCTGGGACGCTCTGGGGAGGGCCAGTGAGGAGGAGTCTTTGAGTCTATGGGCCCAGTGCCAAGGCCCACTGTGGTGGGAAGTTTCTGACTCCACATTAGAAGGTAGGTACCTGGACAGGCAGCTGAGGACGGGGGCTTAGACAGGAGGGTGGACACCTGGCGCTGGGACAGGTGTGGGGCTGGGAAGGGGTTGAGCTGCAAAGAAGAGGCTCTGAGGTATCTGGCCTGGGTTTCCATCTTGACTCTGCTACTTCCTAAACAGGCAACCTTGGCTTGTTCTCTGTGCCTCAACTTTCCCATCTTTAAAGTGAAGATGAGCGAGTGTTTTGAGAAATAAATGAGTGAATACATGTGCAGGGCTTGGAACTGTACCCAACTCACTGGGAACACTTAGAATCTAGATGGGGTCTGGCTTGGGAATGGGAAGCCTGATGCTTTCTGGCTATGCTGACTGTCTCCTGGCAGGGCTAGGGCAGGAATGTTGGCTTCAAGGCTGCCACATGGTTGGGGCCTCGCTTGGCTTTGGCAACTCAAGGTAGCAGGGGTGGCCTGGGCCCTGAGGGGAAAGGAGAATGAGACTTGGGCTTCTGTGATCAGGGGAAGGTCTGGGCTGGGGGCTGGGCAGGAGCACATCTTCGGTGGACAGAGAGAAGGCAGCTCTACGTTGCCCAAGAGGGACCCAGGGCCGCACAGGAAGTTAGGTAAGGGCTCAGCATACAGTGGCAGCCATGCTGTTCCTAGGGCCTCAGCCATAGGCTGAGCTGGGGTGGGTGACTCAAAGCAGGGGATGGATGGCCATGTGACTGGCCCACCCGCCTTTCTCAGTGGCCAGTCTGGGACCACAGGCCTTAGATGAGTCGTTTATCTCAGGTTCAGTCGCCACCCCTGGGGTCACCAGATAGGTAACATTCCACTGATCAGCCTGATCCTGGGGGACAGAGTCACGGACTACCGCCACCACCTGGCCTTCTGCATGCTGCCTGCTGGCTCCCTCTTCCCTCCCACTGAAGAGAGTCCCTAGCTGATGTGGGTGAAGCTGTGACCCTTACAAGGGCTTCTTGGAGACTGAAGATGTTGGGTACGAACCTTTAGTGGGGCATTTCTGGCTCTGGGATGGGTGACAGGGGAAAGAAGTGGAGCATCCATGTTGCCGGTCAGTGGCAGCACTTCTTGGAAAATGACAGCAACAATACTGGGGTTAGCGCTTTTCAATCTGTAAGCCTTTCCCACCTGAGCAGGCCCCAGGACAGGGACCCTGATCTCATCTCCTGGATGCTCCTACCGCCAGAGAATGCTTCTACCACCAGCGAGGGCTACCAGGGCTTCTTCCTGGGCCCCCTCCCCATCCTTGAGTCTCCTATAGCCAGGGCTAAAGTGGATGGTCCCATGGGCTTCCCTACCCTCCAGTCCCAGATGGCACTTCTGCTGCTGGCCAGGTTCCCTTCCTCCCCGGGACCCTCTGGCTCAAAATCTCTCTTGATCAGGTCAGCCCCCCACCAGCTTAGCCCCCCTGGGCGCTGGCCTATGCCTGGCTGGCCCCTCACCTGCCGGCGCCTCTCCTTCTCCTCCTCCAGGTGCCGGGCAAAGTCCTTAGCCAGCTTTCTCTCCTGCCGTTCCTTCATTTTCCGCTGCCAGGATGTGCGCAGGGGCTTGTCCTGAACCATCTGAGAGAACCTGGACCGGGGAGAGCGGGCTCTGTGAGATGCTAGCCTTGCCCTTTCTCCTCTCAGCTCCAGGCCCTGGACCTTCTCTGGAACGCTGTTTGCCTGGCCGTCAGCCCTCCAGGTTTGCAGAAACTTGGGGCAGGACAGGACCCTGATTGTGCTGACTGCCGTTTCTCAAGCCCTGGTTATGTGCCTCTGAGGTTGGGATTCTTGTTTGCTCCATTTTTCAGAGGAGCAAAACAAGGGACAGAGAAGTTAAATAACTGCCCAAGGTCATCTTGTCCTTGAGCAGCAGTCAGGACTTGAATCCCTGTCTGTGACTGCAGAATCCAGGCCACACAGCCTCTGCTGTAAAGTTCTGCCGCTTCTGCCAAGCACAGTAGCCTAGGTGTGAATGCCTTTGGAGATGGGGCGTTCACTCCCTATGGAGGTGGCCCGTTCCATTTCAGAACAGTGTGAATGGCTGGAGTGCTCTGTAATGGTTCAGAATCCCTCCCCATCAGCTGGGGAGATGTGAAGGTGGAGTGGACATTAAGAGACATCTGGGAAGTCTGGATTAATTTAAGAGTGATAATGACTTTAGAGTCATAGGAGAAACAGGATGATCTCTGTAAGAACTCACACTGCAAGGATTTATGGGTGGGATGATATATCTATGATATGCTCTAAAACATTCCAGGAAAAAAAAAAAAAAAGAGAAAAAATGTCGAGGATCAAAGATGAAGCTAGACTAGTAAAATGCAGAGAACTGTCAAGGCTGGTGATGGGAACACGAGGATTCAGGACACCCTGGTCTCTCCTTTTTGGTATGCTTGAAAATTTCCATAATAAAAAGGAAAAACAAAATGAAAACAAGCATCCTGGTGGCCTCCACATACTGAACTTAGGTCTTTCTCCTAAACTATTCAAAGCCTAATTGGGTGTCCCACAGGCCTGCTTTTTTTCTGCTTAACTCCTCAAGTCTCAGCAGATCCTTACAGTGACCTTTCTGCTCTCCCCACCAACTTCTTGACTTCTGAAGGTCAAGAAAGGTGGTAGGAGCCCTGAAGACACACAGAGCCACAGGACACGATGTTGCATCTTTCTAGAGCAGTGCTGTCAAACGAAACTTTCTGTAATGGTGGAAATGCTCTATAACGACCCTATAAGTGTCCAGTAAGGTAGCCACTAGTCACAGGTGGCTGCTGAGCATTTGAAATGTGGTTGGTGTTGATGGAGAAAATCAGTTTAAAAAAATTTTTTTTTCCTTTTTGTCTTTTTTCGTGACCGGTAACGGGATTGCAACCCTCGGTGTCGCGCCCATACCGCGACCGGCAACGGGATCGCAACCCTCAGTGTTGCACCACGCTCAACCAGTGAGCGGACCGGTCTCTATATGGAATCCGAACCCTCCGCGGGAGCGCCACCGCGCTCCCAAACGCCGCACTCTACCGAGTGCGCCACCAGGCCAGCCCAGTTTTAAATTTTACTTAATTTAAATTTAAATAGCCACATGTGGCTAAGGTACTGAAGCAGTGCAATTCCAGCCTCTCCAAGTCTCAGCACTCTCCCAGGTGGAAATGAGAATCGTTTGCACCCCAAAGAGTGGTGGGAGGATTAATCGACACACACAAATAGGTGCTCAATAAATGCTACTCCTCAAAGAAGGGAGACAGCGCGCCCAAGAAGCACTGTGGAGAAGGTGGCACTTGGCATGAGCATAAAGGTAGGATTGCAGCCAGGCCTTCCCTACCTCGCACACCTTTCCAGCTGTGGCTGCCTCCTTCCCTGCAGCAGGTGCTGTCTCCACCTGTCTCTGGGCTCTCCCCACCCACCGCAGCTGATTCCTCAAAGATCCCAAACAGCAATTCACCTTTTTTTGGAGCGGTCCTTCCACACCCGTCCCGACTTGGGCCTCCCCTTCGGGATTACAGGAACCTCTTCCTCCTCCTTTAACTTCTTGGACGCTGGGGCCTGGGATGAAGAACCTTTACTCTTCTTTGTCCCAAGGCCGGCTGTCACCATCTCCCTGCCCCTAGGTGGCTTGCTCGGCTCCTGCTGTCCCCGGGGGGAGTCGGGTACATGGGGTGTCAGCTCCTGCAGTGGCCGCGAAGGCTCCGGACCCGGCGCTTGCTGACCGGGATAAGGCTCTGGTGATCCTGGGCCCGGCTGCAGCTGATGTCGTGGGGACCCCGGTGTCAGCTCCTCCTTACTCTGGGCCAACTCCGAGTCCAGTTCTCCCTGGCCCTGGGAGAACTTCGGTGGCTCCCCACCTGGCTCTGGCTGACGTCGGGGAGATTCAGGACTCGTCTCCGGCTGTTTTCGAGGCGACTCCAGGCTTGGATCTCGATGACGCTGGGGGGACCCTGGGTCCGGCTCTGGCTGCCTTCGAGGGGACTCCGAGCCTGCTTCCTGCCGCAGACTGGGTGACCCCGGGCTTGTCTCCGGTTGATGTCGGGGGGACCCCGGACCAGGTTCCCGCACATTCTGAAGAGACACCGGCTCCCTCGTTTCTTCTGGGTTCGACTCGAACTCCACAAGGGTCCGTCTCGCCCGCGAAACCGAGGTGGGGAGCTCGGGGGATTCAGGCTTTAGGCCTTCCAGCCGCCGGCTGCGCCTTAGCGGGGTATCCATTGCTCAGAGTGAAAGTTTCCAAGTCCGAGCCCACGTGCAGCAGCCGCCACCTCTTGGACAACCGGCGCCTTCCTATGACGTCAGGAGCCTCCACGCCTGCGCCGGGCAGGAAGGGCTGTTGCCGGGGAGGCCATGTTGGTGAGGGGCAGAGAGGAGGGGGTTGTCGGCCCGGCGGGGGGGGGGGGGGGGG